AGACAAACTATCGATTTTTTACATTTAAACCTCCTTTGTAACTGTTTGGCCTAATTTACTATCGCCAATAGAAGGCTATCCTCCTAAAGGATAATTATTTGAATGTTATGATGATGACTGCCTTTGCCACACTAAAACAACATACAACACCTGCTTTCATGGCTAATTCGTAATTACTGGACATAAAAGTGCAATATTTTTTTCCTGTAACTTATATAGCCCACCTTATCCCCCATGCATGCGAAGATAAATAGTCACACGTGCGATCCCACAGCCATGCCCCAGGCACTTGAAGTATGAACACAGATCCCAGTCGTAGTGAAAGTAGGAGGAATGGCGTCTAACTGCCGACTGCGACATAAAAACACAAAGTAAGGCTTAATTTAAATAGAATCCGTATTTAGCCATCATGGCTTGCACTATCAAAGGCTCGTAAGAATACGCTAGATGCCACTGGTAGGACTATAATTAAAACTGATTGCGTCGCATCGTTTCTTGCTGATTAATCCGTCCGCAAACTGACGGGCGGTGATGTAGGGGAACTGCCAGGAACCGCACGCTAACTTCACAATTATCTCTAACATAAATGAACGGCACACAGGGGTTCAACGGAATGGGTCCAACGGCAAAAAACGACAAGTACAACATAATACTTCAGATTATTTCAAGCTACCTTAGCAAAATAAGTACGCAGTATATATCAATAAATTGAAAGGCTTGTATACTCTACTCCCATATCTGGTGCACTGTTTATTGTGTTGAAAGCATAACGATACAGGAGATGAACATGGTCGCAGCCGTTGACAATGTAGCAGTTACCTTAACTTGTTTTCTCTGCTTTACAGAAAGCTACGCGATAAGCTTATACAGGCATCTCGCATGCTGTGGGGTCAGGATTGTTGCCTCGCAGCTAAAGATTTCTTTGGGCTTGCCACTATCATTAGCTTGCGAGGACACCCACTCAAATTACGTGTAACTGGGGCAGGACTGCACCCCAGAAAGTACTTTTTCGCTAATTGAGTAATTCGTGCATGGAATATTCTGCCCGCGGACATTGTCATGTCATCATTCGTAAAGATCTTTAAGACCAAGTTGGACCAGTACAGCCTAACGTACCACAAAGTCACCTGAAACTACCATGAGCCTCTCAGTATTGTTTGACATCAAACATTTAATGCTATACACTTGCCACTAGCTATTATTCAGTGGTACTATTGCTTCCTCGAATAATTTATCATCACCCGTAGGCCGATATCTGCGCGCTGTCTTCTTGTCTCTCTGCTAACTGTAACAATCGCGTCAGCAACCACCTATACCGCGCATATGGTCCTAGGCATTGTAACGTTCTTCTTCATATCGACCCGTGACCGACTGCTGATGACCGTGACGGATTCCCTTGTTCTCGTCACCTCATCGGCAGACCCGGCCAACAGCAAGGGCGTATCATTGTCGCACCTCCGTCTCTTCGAGATGTTCTTATGACTCTGCGGTCCCCTCCTAGTGTGAACCTCCCGATAAAGGTATTTAACGCGATGGGCTTTTCCTAGTTTGCCAGAAACGTGATCAGCAGTACGCTGGTCCCATCTCGCACATACTTTCAACCCCCACGAGCGACAGTTATTCTCCTAAAAATCCCACAAATGACATTCCAACTCCTAGAATTTCTGAGCCATGCTTTAGGAGTTTTTTAACTGTCTGCTCTTTTTGCTCAATAACACCTACCGGCTCGTGTCAACTGACATCACCACGTGTGATTATATTACTTGGAATAAGTGGGTAGTCGTGTACGTTTTCCTTTCCAAACTAACCGACTTTCACCTGCAATTATGTAAACAACTTTTTAAATGTTCTGCCCTTCACTGCTGTGTACCAAAAGGGAGCTCAAAGGCGTTTGCCTATATTTCCCTCAATAAACCTGACCTGACCGGCCTACGTAGACCATAAAATGTAATAGGACCTTGCAAAACATGCCCCCGTCATCAGTTCAAAATAGAGCGAATAAATTAAACAATTTCATTCAGTTTAGACTGTCAGCCTAACCTGTAACCAGACCATTGTAGTGGAATACGGTGCACGCACGACGAGGAGATGTTAACCGCATCAGTTTCGAATGCTGAGCAAATACAGGAGAGTTTTGTATATTTGCTCTTGTTTTAAACGAACCGTTGTGTCACACCTCGACAGGAAGTTAAGTTGGAGTTTATAATTATAGGGCGGCATACACAAAATGGGGAGAAAGCGTATGAAAACATAATGTATGTTTAAAAAAGTCAAGTAAATGTACACAAACGTATCAAATATGTGAAAACGGGGAAAAAACACCCCATATTAAACAACGTCAAATGGAAGGAGTACAAACGTGTACAAAAATGAGAGCACTCATGCTAGTTCATGGCGTAGGAGAGTGGAAGGTGGCTAGACGGGATCTTGGCTTCCTCGTGGTGCCATCTCTATCATCTTTTGTATCGCTTTTGCTTGATCTTTTATATGATGGAATCTAAAAAGAAGACACCAGTATATAAAAAAATCAGAACGATTCTGCCTATGCGCATCTTGTTGAAGGCTATGACATTCAGCGGCTTTGCAATGTTTTCTAACGCATCTAGAGGAGTCACTTAAGGCAACCGACGAACGCCATAAGTCTCTGAAGAGTGCCCTGGTTACTTGTATGTTGAGAGTGGAGAAACCAACGTGCGCAGAATCTCTCCCACTTACGTACTCACTTGTGCTTAGTACGACTGCGATCATGCCTGATCTAGTAGGCCTCAACAATACCCCCCAATTGCACCTCTCCACGCCTGATGATCCACGGTAGCCGACCTAGACAGTTCAATCCATTCTCTTCGCCAGCGACGGAGACTAAATACCCAAAGGTCAATAACCACGGTCAGGTCTTGAAGAGCCGAATGGAACGAGGCTTTGTGTTGAACTGTGGCGGACGGCCACAATGCCTGTCCACCCTTCGTTCTCCAAAGCCCGCTGCCCCTAAATCATGCGTCATCACAAACAACTGTTCCATTGCTTTCTTTCACTGGCTCTCCCGTTCTCCGAGGCTTGACCTCGCAGCTAATTCTGGCT